TTGTGGTTCCCCCTATCACCAGGAGGGGGCATGGAAGTGATATGCCCCTCTTCCAGGTATATCCTCTTGTCCATCTTAGTTACTGGGCCCTACGGATTAGCAAGGGAAGTTGGAAAAGACAGTCTTTGGTTAGGTGTTCCTATACTCAGTGAAAACTCTTACTATACAAAAGAGAAATAAGGGGCTGGAGAGATGGCTCAGTGGTTAAGAGCACTGGCTGCTCTTCCAGAGGTCCTGAGATCAATTCCCAGCAACCACATGGTGGCTCACAACCATCTGTAATGAGATCTGGGGCCTTCTTCTGGTTTGCAGGCAGACATGCAGGCAGAATACTGTATACATAATGAATAGATAAATCTAAAGACAGAAAGAGAGAGAAGGAGAGAGAGAGAGAGAGAGAGAGAGAGAGAGAGAGAGAGAGAGAGAGAGAGAGAGATGGAATTGGGGACATATGAATATCCAAAACAAAAGTATCTCAAATTTAGAGTCAGCGATTTGACTGCCAACATTCACAGCCTTCCAACATGGGGGTATGTCAGCCATGTTCAACAAAAGCACAATGTGCTAGAGGGAGAAAGAAAGAACACCCATGAAAGCAGATTAAAGTTCAGATTTCTTTTGCATGGTTGGGACCCGAGGCATTCTAGAATGTTCCCAGAGCTTTCAGAGAGACCAAACTCGGGTTGCCTACATGGTAACCGGCTTTGCTTTCCTTTCTTCCTTTTTCCTGGGATAGACCCCCAACATAAAATACTTGTATTGGAATCCTTGTATTGGCTTACTTCTGGGACAATAAAGTCTAAGACCAAATCTGGAATCTCTTGAAATCCAGAGGGGAAACTAAATGACTAACTGTTATATTTAGAAAGTACAAGAGAAGTCAGTTCTTCAAATAAGACAAAGTATTTCTCCCTGCACTTCTCCATTCCATGCTAAGAAGCACAACAAACTACCCTGCTTTCACAGTGTCTGGTCTGTTGTGGTACTGTTTGCTCTGCCTTCACTATTTTGGGCTCCTTGACCCTTCAGACCCTTTGAGCCAGCAAACTCCCTCACACATTCTTGGAACTAAGCATGTCTGGATGGTGGAAAATATGAACTCTGTCCAACACCTCTTGACACACAAAGAAACCACGTATCACAGAATGTGACTGGCCACATGGTCCCTGGAGAGTGACCAGGGAAACCAGCTCGGTGCCATTCTAGTTTTCTACCACTAGCAGATTTGTTTTACCTTCTGAGAGGAGCTCAAGGTGTTTAGCCAGAATATGTCTGTAACTCGTAAAGAAGCCTTCAACCTCAGGGGCTAGGCTGTCTATCTCTTGGCCATGAAGTCTGAAGGACTGCGCTTGTTACTACTTAATTTTTCACATCTTGCAAGATGAGACCTCAATGTAACTGGGGAGATGATCTATTGATTTCAGGCTATTCAAAATCCTATAATGCCTTCATTGATTATGGACAACCACAAACAGAATCAAGCTCTTGTTTCCATGAATTTCTCCTGGAAATCACACCTCTTGATGCCTCAAATGTGATGCCAGAGGAGGAAGATTCCCCTAACTCAAACCCAAATCAAGGGCTCTTACTCAGCTTGGTCTGGGGAGAAGGAGTTTTTTCTAAAACAGGATAAAACTTGTGAAGTTGTCAGTGAATTGGCTGTTTGTTTAGGAGCCTAAAGTTCAGGTGTTTGTAATTCAACCTCTGAGTCACTTCTATTTCAAGTGTCCTTTTGTGATCAGAAAACAGATCAAACCAAACCAGGAGCTGGGGAAGCGGCTTAGTGACTCAAGTGCCCAGCAGTGTAAACACGAGGTCCTGAATTCAATTCTCAGCAGTCATACAAAAATATGGGTGCACTGCTATAAGTCTATAACCCCAGAGCAGGGTGTGTGTGTGTGTGGGGGGGGGGTAGACACAGGGAATCTCTGGGGCTTGCTGGGCAGCCTGTCTAGCTCAATCTCCAAGCCTCAGGCTTAGTGAGAGCCCTCAAAACGTAAGGTGGGCCTGCGAGGTAGTACAGTGGTGGAGTGCTTGCCTAGTAACCTACGAGGCCCTGTGTTCAAACCACAGAACCTCTCCCTCCCCCCAAAAAATTAGATGAAGAGTAGTACAGGAAGAGACCTGGTATTGACTTCTGGTCTCCACATGCATATGCATCCAAGCACACACACACCAAGTACACATACAAACACACATGTGAAACTAAACAAAACCAATATGTACTGGCCCCTTAAAAGTTCTTTGCAAAGTTCTTCCATGACTGACATCTCTCTACCTTAAAGTGTATAGGCTAATTTAAAACTATGTATTTATATTACTAATATGTGTCTATTCAATACCAAGAGTTTGGAAAATATAAATAAGCAGATAGAAAATTGAAATAGTCAAAAAAGTGATTGCCAATAAATGTTCATTATTAATTTGATGGTGCATCCTTCCAGGTATATATATATATATAGCCTTGCTAAAGGATCTCACTTACTCCACTGAGTAGGTAGACTGAAATGTTTGAAATGTCCAGTTCTAAGACTGTAGATCCTCTTTTTTCTTTCACAATGATAAAAGTGTTCCTTTATACACACACATATAAATTTGTGTGTGTTGTGTGTGTGTGTATGTGTGTATGTATGTATGTGCATATGCTGTGTGTAGGCCAGAAGTCAACATTGGATGTCTTGCTCAATTGCTCTCCACCTCATTTTTTGAGGCAGGGTCTCTCACTGGATCTGCAGCACACTGATTCAGTTGCTCTGGCTGGCCAGGAAGCACCAGAGATCTTTCTATTTGCCTCTCCATGCTGGGATTAGTTTTATGTTACCAAGCCCAGATTTTAATTTTTTAAAAGTAGTCCTTGTCCTGATTTATCTTACTAACTCCAGGCCGGAGATAAAAAGTATGCCTGAAGACAGGCAGTGGTGGTGCACGCCTTTAATCCCAGCATTGGGGAGGCAGAGGCAGCTGAATCTCTGTGAGTTCCAGGCCAGCCTGGTCTACAGAGCAAGTTCCAAGACAGGCTCCAAAGCTACACAGAGGAAACCTGTCTCGGAAAAATAAAACAAAATGAAAACAAACAAACAGAAGTGTGTCTGAAGGCCCATGAACCCATCACATTCAACATCTCTTTAGGCTGTATCCACAATCACTGCCTTTCCACCATGTCTTCCAGACTTTTCAATGTTACTTTGAATAAAGGTCTCTATGGACTTTTATTGTCTCTCAGATCTAGTGGTCCCATAAAAGGTATGTCTCTAGATAGTTTCTAGTCTCACTAACACTCAACTTGCTTCAGTTTTTCTTACTACTGACTTGGGCTTATCCAAAGCCTGTTTTTAACAAAGCAAAAATTGTTTTAAGTTAGTGTATAGTTTCACTATAGCATTGTGTGTGTGCGCGCGCACATGTAGAGAGAGGCCAGAGGACATTCTTGGGTGTTGTTCAGCAGGCGTTGTCCACTATCTTTGATAGTCTTTCACTGGCCTGGTTTGTTAGGCTGACTGGCCAGTGGCCCCCTGGGATCTTGCCTATCTCTGCTTTCCCAGTGATGGGATTACAAGCACGTGCAACCACACCTAGTTTTTAATGAAAAAGATTGTTTTATTTGGAGGTATCTTAGGTTTCTATTGCTGTGATTAAAACACCATGACCAAAAGCAACTTGGGGAGGAAAGGGTTTATTTCAGCTTATAGCTTGCAGTCCATCACGCAGGGAAGTCAGGGAAAGAACTCAAGGCAGGACTCCAGAGGCAGGAGCTCATGTAGAAGCCATGGAGAAGTGCTGTTTACTGGCTTGTTCCTCATGGCTTGCTCAGCTTGCTTTCTAATATAGCCCAGGCCCACGAGTCCAGGGATGGCACTACCCACAATTGTCTGGGCCTTCCCACATTAATTCTTAATAAAGACAATGCCCCATAGGCATCAAATTTAGGTCTTCATCCTTGCAAGGTGAGCACTTTCTCAAGTGGGCTATCTCCCCAGCCCCCATTATGACATTTTCATTCATATGTCACTATATTTTGTTCTTATTTGTGCTTCGTCCTACTTCCCAAGGGACTCACTCTATGGCTCCCTTCCCCCTGATCATCTCCCCTTCCTACTTTCATGCCACATAAATTCTAATAGCCCTGCCCCACCTTAGGGTTTCCTCCTTCCATACTCACCCCAGTCAGAATGTCTGCCACCAAAGGCTCAGTGTTGTTTGGAGCTGGTGAGCCTCACAGATGGATATAAACTGCTCCATTGAATAGGGGTGAGGAACTAGGGAGATAGGTCAGTTGGAAACAAGCTTGTCACATCAGCATGAATACCTTAGTTTGATCCTCAGAACCCATGTAAATATCTGGGTCTATGTTGGTGTTGGAGACATGAGGATCCTTGGGTTTGATGGCCAGCCAGCCATGGCAAAAGAATCCATGTGCAAACTCACACCAGTGAGACAACTTATCTAAAAAAGATGGACATCTCTGAGGAATGACACCAGAGATTGACCTCTGCTCGAGCACACACACACACACACACCACATAAACATAAACATATACATATAAACAATAAAAAACCCAAAAAAACTTGGGGCAGGCCAGATCTAGAGAATTTGGTGAGCCTCACCAAATTCTTGATGGTGATTTTGTTCTCTTAAATCAGCATTAATCCTTTTATATGTAGTAATGCCAAGCTATTCTAAAAGTGGTGACTCTCACCAGATGAAATTATATATGTCAAGGTTCCAAAATCCAGTTACAAATGACATTTCAGCTTGAGCTTTCTCCTGGGCCCTGACTGCACTGTACAAAGGAAGGATGTCGACTGGGAGGGCTCTTGAAAAGGTTTCCATGTCTTAGGAGGAGACATGGAATAATACAGCTTTCTATCTCTGACATACTTTGGATATGACCTGCTTACATTTACCCTGACAAACTCCTTTCAAAGAATTTGAGTTCTTGATGCCATTATTAAGCACCAAACCAACAATCCTGGAAATGGCTTTGCTTTTTGACATCTCATTACATGAAGCAATATATTTCTTTATTGTTTATGTTATTTTTAGCCACACTCCTGTTATTTGCAGCACAACACACCAGAAGACAATATTTTGTTTTTGATGTCCTTGAGTTCAGATAATCTTCTCCTCTTCTTATGCTGATAGGGCTTGGGACACACTGATCCCTATGACAAAATAATAATGTGATTAATATTTGTACATGTCTCTGATATATAATCTGTCAGATCAGTCACAGTATAGGCACTTTTTATCATCTTATAGCACTTAGAGATAACCAAATAAAACTTAACTTGTTTAGCAATACCTGGTTCTGACCAGAATGGTTCCCTTTGCTGCTAATGCTAAGCCTTGTTTATAACTACCATGTCTGTTAGGATCTTGAGTACCAGGGACTGAAAGAAAACAAATGAAATGACAGGTAATATCTGGGTTTAGGGCAGCAGTATGTTACTTCTAGCTCAAGAGCCCAGGACTGGAAACCCTTCTCTCAGCCCCAGTGTACAATGCTGTGGCCAAGTCTCTGTAAACAAGTTCCATAAGTGAAAGTATTTTTTCTGGAAAAAAAAGATTCCATCTTTCTGCCAGGCAGTGGTGTCCCATGCCTTTAGTTCCAGAACTCGAGAGGCAGAGGTAGGTGGATCTCTGTGAGTTCAAGACCAGCCTGGTCTATAAGAGCTAGCTAGTTCCAGAACAGCCTCCAAAGCCACAGAGAAACCCTGTCTCGAACCCCCCCACCCCCAAAAGACTGCATCTTTCTTAGGTTCTCAATGTAATCCACCGCCCTTCCAAAGACTAAGAAGCACCATAACATGGTACCTCAGAAATGGAAATAAAAACCCAAACAATGTCTTCTTTGTGTTCTCTTGTAATTTAAGGAATTTGAAGCAGGAGACATTTAGATGGCAAGGCTAGGTACTTCAAGACCAGTGTAAAATGAAAAAGCAGGGTCCCTTATTAAAAAATATAAGAATTTCAAAGCTGGGTGAAAGTGGCGCATGCCTTTGATCCCAGCACTTGGGTGAGGCAGCCGGAGTGAGTTCGAGACCAGTCTGGTCTACTGAGTAAGTTTCAGGACAGCCAGGGCTACACAATGAAACCCTATCTTGAAAAATAAAAACAAACGGAATTTCAAGATTAAACCAGGCCTGGGATCTTACTAACCTAGGAGCCTTGGGTACTACATAGGTTGCATGCCCAGGAAGCTGGTCGTGCCTCTGGAACACATGGTTACATCTACATGTACTATACCATTAATTGCCTTCTCAATTATACGGTATTCCTTTAGACTGCAATGCAGTCTTTCTTCTCTTTGTGAGGGCACCTGGAATGTGCCAGGAATTGTGTTAAGCACTGGGGATTCTGGATATGAACAAGTATTCATTAAATGACACTGGTGTCTACTAGGTTACCCTTCTCAGGATCCTGGGAGTGCTGCTCTGACTTAGTTTTCAAGGTAAAGCAGAGACAAGCAACAAACAGAAATAAGCCTTAAATTAATGCAGTGGAAGGGATGGATACAGGGTATCTATCTACACGGTTACTTTTGAGCTCTGTTGGCCAGGAAGGATCAGTTTGATACATTTGAGCTGCGACTTCAACAAACAGGGGCCAGCCAGTGCAGTACAGCAGGAACTCAGGAGGCGGAGTATGCTAGCGTGAGCACAGAAATGTTTACGAGGAAAGACTGAAATGATGATAAGAAGCAGGCAGGCTCCATCATCATCTTCGGCAAATGGGAGCGAGGGAGGGAGCACGAGTCGGGCGAGAAGGACCTTTCAGGAGCCGCACTTAGAAAAGTGGTGGGTGGCTCGGAGCAGAGCGAGAGCAGCAGAGGTGAAGCAGCGAGGCGTGCGGGCGTGCATCCCTCGTCTCCCCATCCTGGCCGCGCCCAGCCCAGGTGAGTGGGTGGCCCGCGG